GGCCCCGCCGCCCCCGTCCTCCGAGGCTTTGCTCCGCGTCTCCCTGGTCTGCTGGGGGGCTACCCCGTCTGCTGGGGGGCTCCCCCAGCAGACCAGGAGGACGCGGGCGGCGGGACCGCAGCGTGTCTGGGCGGTCCCACTGCCCGCGTCCTCCGGGGCGAGAAAAGCCCTGTTCGTAACTACGGATCCGAAATAAGTCGGATCTGCGTAAGTCGGGGACTGCCTGTATAGCTTAAAGGTCTGAGGTTGTGGGTAGAACCCTATGCAGATACATAACTTGAATCTAGTCTGCAAACATTGTCTGAGGATATTCAAGTAAGATATAAGGCTTATCTCTGTAGATTTGCTGATATGGGAACAAATGCAACCTTTTTCAGTTAAAAACGGATACGATTATAGTTTGCATCTAGTTATATATGTAGTAGACCGTCAGTTACAATCACCTCAGGAATTTAGGGTGTATAACTCTGAAATGTTACAAATTTGTGTGACGGCGCGTTGGGGGTCCCCTGTCTCCTGCACCCCGAAATGGCACAAACAGACTGCACCAGCCGATGGAATAGAGGAAGTTTATTGCCTCTCCAGGATACAGCACAGCACAGAGCTGTGGGCGGTCCCACTGCCCGCGTCCTCCGGGGCGAGAAAAGCCCTGTTCGTAACTACGGATCCGAAATAAGTCGGATCTGCGTAAGTCGGGGACTGCCTGTATAGCTTAAAGGTCTGAGGTTGTGGGTAGAACCCTATGCAGATACATAACTTGAATCTAGTCTGCAAACATTGTCTGAGGATATTCAAGTAAGATATAAGGCTTATCTCTGTAGATTTGCTGATATGGGAACAAATGCAACCTTTTTCAGTTAAAAACGGATACGATTATAGTTTGCATCTAGTTATATATGTAGTAGACCGTCAGTTACAATCACCTCAGGAATTTAGGGTGTATAACTCTGAAATGTTACAAATTGAACAAGAAATACGGTTACAACTAAAATTTGATTTAATACAGTTATGAAACTTTACCATGCACACGAAGTCTGCTTTTTACCATGTTAATTTAAATGAAACCAGCACAGAAAGAGTTTACTTACCTTGTTGTGAATCTTATTTTAAATGTTCCCTTTGTTTTTAGTAGCTTACATTTTACACAGTACTGTACTTTATTTTCCCCCCTCTCCTGCTGCCTCATTTCATTCCAGTTTCAGCTGAGGTATATGTTTGACTAGTCAGCTCATAACTCTGAGGTTTTACTGTACTTTGGTAAAAGCGATGGTCAACTTATATCTCTTCTACCTTCAGTAACTCAATGGGCAGTTAAAATAGATGGAAAAATCTCAAATCTGGTCTGAAATAGGGATATCAGGTAATAGAATATTCAACTAACCGCATGAATTTTTAGCGGTTAGTCGACTATTCTACAGTGCCCGGGGTAGGGCCAGCAGCCAGTGCACTCGGACCCCACTCCTGGGGAGCCCCCTGCCACCCCACACTGCTGCCTCTGATACAGCAGCATGGGATGGCATGCAGGAGCTGGCCCACAAGGGGAGCTAGTTTAAAAACCAGCTCCTCTTGTGGACTGGCTGCCTGCCACCCCGCACTGCTGTCTCTGATACAGAGGCAGCAGCGTGGGGTCCAAACTCCCCCTGGACAAAGTCTGGTGGAGGAGGCTGCCACAAAGCAACCTCTCTCTGTGGGGGATCCGAACTCCCAGAGACAGCTTCACGGCAGGTTCCCCTGGTGCTTCTTTTCCCCCACCACTCTGCTGTGCAGTGATGGGGGACAGGCAGCTCCTGTTTCTCCCCTCCAACCACCTTCCTCCATTCCCCCTTGCCAACTCTGATAGAGGCAGCGGGGAGGGGGGGAGGAATGCGTGCAAGTAGTTGAATAGGCTTATCAGTTAATCAGCTAGTTGACTACTCATTCACATTTCTATGCTGAAAAGTAGCTGTAGTTGTATGTAATTTACTGGAACTACATGTTAAATCTTTGATAATTCTGTTTGTGTTTGTGTCTGTAACCAATTCTGTTTGGCATATTTTTTAAAATTGGATAATATGAAATTTCAAGCTTTTTTGTTGCTGTTGTGAGATACTAGATTTTTTTTGACCAAAAATATTTGATCGGTGCTTATGTCTATCATAGATCTTTTGTATTTTCTTCCTTCCCCTTTATAAAAATAGTCAATGGTGTAAGGAGTTATGTTATGTTATGGATGCACTCTCTGAGCCATGGTTACGCTGTAAAAACATAGGTGTAAAATGTAGTTGAAATTCAGGTACATTAAGATTGTTTTCTGTTTTGATGATTGAAAAAGAAATAAACTATATAACATTATTGGTTAAATTTAAAAACCATGTTTAACTATTTTTGTCACCTAGAAGTCCTGTCATATTTTCAGTAAGCTGCTTACTAAATGTCTACAGAGTTTTAGATCCCATCAATAAAAATGTTTAAGGTGCTGCCTGTCACAATCATGCCCCACTGATATTTCTGTCAGGACATTCTGGATACTCTTTGTATGAATGGAGAAAATCTATACTTCAACCATGTTAAAATAGCACACATTATTTGTGGTAGCTTAATAGCTTTTTGTGTTCTTAAGTCAAGAATTGTGTTAGAAGTAGTTTGACACAAATATATATGAGTCATGTTTAAATATGATTAGGTTATTTTGCATAGATAAGCCTTTTAAAGGTGTTTGATTAATCCATTGAGGGCAGTAGAAGACTTATACTTCATCACTTTTTCTCATTTTGATAAATAATCAAATAGTTCAGCAGTTCTCACATTTGATTGCATCACAAGCCTCTTCTGACAATGTAACCTTTGATGTCAGGACTGAGCGTGAGCCCTTCTTCCTTCAGACTTCAGCACCAGGTGGCAAGGCTCAGGCTTCAGCTGTAGGCCCCTTAAGCACTGGCCCTGATGAGCCCTTAAAATGGAATCATAACCCTCTTTGAAATCACGAACCACAGTTTGAGGACTACAGTCTAATTGGTAACTTATGGCCAATTGTGTATAATCAAAAGTGAAGCATCCGAAGGTTGCTTTTGTGGTGGTTTATGGCCTTCCTCATTCAGGCAAAGTTATTTGGAGTGGCAACTTGATTTTACATGGTTTCCACAGCCCAGTCTGGTGTAACCTATAAAACAGTGATTCTTAAACTTTTTGGCCTGTGGCCCATCCTGCTCAATACCGACCATTCTGTGGACACCAGCCTCCTACTGCGGGAGGAAAGGGTTTCCATGCCCTGCAGACTGACAAATGGGTGCAGGAGAGGGTGGTGGTTCAGGGTCGGTCAAGGAGGGTAGGGTGCATGAGTGGGCGGGAGGGGGGGTGTATGAAGGAGGATACAGGAGAGTAGGGTGCGGGGTCTGGACAGGAAGAGGATGGGGGGGCGCTCTACCTGTCTTCTGTCGCTCCCAGGCATTGAGGGCCCTCCCCTCACTGCTCCCATTGGCTGTGATTCTGGCCAGTAGGAGCAGCAGGGAAAGCCTCCAGCTGAGAAGTTTCCTGTGCTGCAGTTATCCTAGCTCCAGGGAAGGAGGAACATGAGTATGGGGAGCCACTTCCTTCCCCTGCAAACCGGATCCAGAGCATCAGGCTCCCCACTGCAGAGGAAGGGGTTGAGGTCCATGCGTATGGACCACACTTTGAGAACCACTGTTACAATAAAAGAAATCCTCTAATAACCAAGCCCAGCTTTTCGGTAGTGACAGGGTAGTTTTTAGCTGCTAAAACTGGATGCTTATATGTACCGTCGTTTAGGTTTTTAGAATTGCTAGCGCATCTGTAACTTGTAAGCACAGCTGCATTAAATTTCTTATGTGAGTTCTGTACAGCCGCCATCATCAGAAAAACTACATTTATGGAAGGGTAGCATGTAATGAATCATTGAACTAAAAGTTAAAAAGCTAGCACATATCAGAACACTCTAGTGTCTCTAAATAGCTTTCTGTATTTGTTATTAATATTATGTTAGTGATTTTTTTTATATTTGTATTGATGCACGGGCATCAAATGCATTCTCATTTTTTTTCTTTTCCTATTCTTATAGGGTGAAGGGAGTGGTCTCAAAGGGAATGAGAGTCACTTTTAAATTCATACTCCCAAGCCATCTGGCACGTTCTTTGTAGACAAGGCAAAGGCCAAAGACTTAATAAATGTTATCCAAATCTTCAGAGTGGTTGGTCAGCTGATATCTTAAGTACTGCATTCATCCACTGCAAGAAGAAACTAACTGTTAGAAATTAAAAATATACAAGGTACTAATGGTCTTAAAACTAAAACCTACCTGGGGAGTATACAAAATACATGTCCAATGGCTCTTCAGCTTACATTAAAGTAACACTCATGAAATCAAGAACTAGGGAGACTGAGGATAAAAATTAGACAGGTTGAGTTGTCTGCAAGGATCAATTCAGATTTTAAGGCTTATACTTTTGTTTCCTTTTATTAAGATGAATTTCCTTTAACTATTCTACACTAAACTTACATATTTATCCATTACGTACCACTTGATTATGTGTATCAGTAGATCATACACTTACAGACATATTTACAACTAAAATATCTCTACTCCCAAGATGGTGAGTTTTATTGGTTCACTTTGGTTTTTGAGTTTTCAGAATAGCAATTTTGTAGTAAATTCTTAAACTCTTGAAAAAAGTCAGACTGGAGACTGTCTAGCAACTGTTTCCTCCCCTAAACACTCTGCTCCCCTAAACTTGACATGTTTTGTTTTTTAAGAAAAGGCACAAAAGTATTTTCCCTTTGCAGTAGACAATATGTGCTACTTGCTGTACATACTGTAGTGGCTGTATACTGAGAGAACACTTTTATGCCTTAGTTTAGATATTGATTAAGCGTGACTTAAATGAAATTCAGAAATCTTTATTTTTCTCTTCACAGAACCCATTTTCAGACTTAGTTATCTTTAAGCCTTTTTTATTTAGATAATTCAAATGGTTTCCTTATAAAGCTTCAGACTTGGCATACTTGTTGTCTTCAGTGAGGAGCATATATACTGCTAGAGGTAATGATTGCTGAGCTACTCCTGAGAAACGACCTACTCTCACAAGTGAGTACTTAACATTAAATATTTAAAAATTCATTTGGAAGAAACTTTATTCTACACATTTTCCTGATGGGTTTTGTGATGAGTTTGAGTGACAGATCACTTGCATTTCTCTTATATTTAGCCTATGGTGAAGCAAAAAGAACAAATCTTGTGGTGTCTGTTTTCAGTTGTATTAACTGGAGTCAAGACTTTTCCAAAAAGTTCAGCCTAAACAAGGCACAAGAGTGCCACTTGTAATGACAGATGTTTGATGCTGATCTGTCCACTAGGAAACTGAAACTACACCATTTTACTTAAACAGTTGCCAAAGGTGATTAAATGGTTAAAAAATGAATGCTTGAAGTTAGAAATCAATATCTTGAACACTTGTGCTATTGCAACTCATGGCAGTTTGACCCGACTACTTTCTGGTGATCAGATTATAGTTGCAAACTGGATGCAGTACTTCTGCAGTATTTAAGTACTTCTATTACTCTCTAAAGTAAAGGATATGAGATAAAATATCATCAGAATAAAATTAAGTATTCACTGTAGGTGAGTCTCCAATGTGTAGCTCAGCAGTCCTTGCATCAGTGTATGTTCCTCACTGACGACTACAGAGATGCTACATCTGATGTAAGAAATGGCTTCCTTGAAACAAGAACAAGTATCTTTAAAGTTGGTTAACTTGAGTAATGTTACCAAAACTAGACAAGGCCATAGAAATCAAGGATTGAATGGACATGGAGACCTTATGCCTTGGAAGTAGTTCCTCTTACAAAAGGTTGAAACACATTGAGGTTGATGGATGTAGGAAGCGCACTAGTACCGTGACTGTTATATTGTCAGTATGATATCTCTCAGAGGGTACACATCTAGACTACACACTTCTTTCGAAAGAAGCTTTTTTCAAAAGAATAAGGCACTGCTTTTTGTCTAGCAGGCACTGCTTTTTTGAAAAAGCAATCCACTTTTTTGAAAGAGCATCTAGGCAATCTGAATGCGCTCTTTCGAAAAAGCCCTGTTTGTGGTCAAGAATGCCTTTAAAAAAAGAGTTCTTTTGAAAAAAGGCGTTCTTCCTCGTAAAATGAGGTTTACTGCTTTAGAAAAAAAACGCTGCAGTCTTTCAATTTAATTTCGAAAGAACGCAGCAGCAGTCTAGATGCAGGTGAAGTTTTTTTTTGAAGACCACTTTTTTTTCAAAAAAACCCTGCAGTCTAGACATAGCCAGAATTTCAGTGGTAGTTATTGGAGATGTAACTGTATGGCAGTAATCCGGAGAGACATGATCACACAGAATTTTGTGGCAGAGGCAGGAAAATAATCCAGTTTTCCAGGGAAATATTCAGATGCCTTAACCACGAGAACCTTCTTCCTCTCTATGCAATCCCTTACTTATTTATTGTGCGCTTTTGCGGAAAAGCATCCTGCCAGTCTAGACGCGCTTTTCCGCAAATGCTTTTAATGGAAAACTTTTCCGTTAAAAGCCTTTCTGGAAAATCATGCCAATGTAGATGTAGCCTTACTGTATAACCCGGTTTCATCTCCATCCACTGCAATGAATGACCCGAATGCACTGCACTGCTTCTCATTCCGGTCCAGTTCCCCCACACTTCAGGTCCTTATCAGATATGACTCCTTCCATTTTCACAGATCTTCCCTCTTCCCCATCTAAGAGTCCCAGTATTACCAGGTACAGTAGACTTCGGATAATCCGGCTCCTTTGGGACCTAGGTGGTGCCGGATTATCAGATATGCCGGAGTATCGGGAGGTACTCCGGCGGGGGGCTGTGACAGGTCTACTGGGACCCGCACTGCATCTGGGGAGGTAGGCGGGGAACAGCAATGCTTTTAATGGAAAACTTTTCCGTTAAAAGCCTTTCTGGAAAATTATGCCAATGTAGATGTAGCCTTACTGTATAACCCGGTTTCATCTCCATCCACTGCAATGAATGACCCGAATGCACTGCACTGCTTCTCATTCCGGTCCAGTTCCCCCACACTTCAGGTCCTTATCAGATATGACTCCTTCCATTTTCACAGATCTTCCCTCTTCCCCATCTAAGAGTCCCAGTATTCTCACTCACAAACTCTCAACTATATAGTAGAAGATAAAACGTCAGATAACTAAGATACTTTTAAGCCTTGTATACTTTGGTGGCAATTGCACATTGTAAGCCACTTAATCATAGTGTTTTTCCCACTAGTTCCTGAAGGACTTGGGTATATGGAGTTTGATGATTAATACTACAGCTCTGAATTAGAAGATACCACGGCCGCTGCTGAAACTGATGAATGGCGGACTTGGGGAAGCGGCGGAGCAGAGCAGCTGGGGTGCTGCCAGGTTGGTCCCACAGCACCGCCCCTACCCCCCTGCTCGGCAATAACTACTGCAATCCAGAGGGTGGAGAGCTTGCTCCCTTCCCGGAAACTCTCGGTGGTGGCGCGGGGCTGAGCGCGGCTGGAACGGGGCAAGTTCAGGGACTTAGCTCTTGTCGCCTCTCCTCAGCTGGCCTGTCTCAGGCAGGCGCGCGGGGGGGCCAGGTTGGTCCCACAGCACCGCCCCTACCCCCCTGCTCGGCAATAACTACTGCAATCCAGAGGGTGGAGAGCTTGCTCCCTTCCCGGAAACTCTCGGTGGTGGCGCGGGGCTGAGCGCGGCTGGAACGGGGCAAGTTCAGGGACTTAGCTCTTGTCGCCTCTCCTCAGCTGGCCTGTCTCAGGCAGGCGCGCGGGGGGGCGCGCGGCTG